GTGTATTGTTTATTTTTTTATGCGTGTGTCATAAGTACAGTTTTTTTTTTCGAATGTATATTGGACTGCCTTTGTGTGCATACTCCTCCCCCGCAAAAAGTAGCAGAATGATTTTAATAGTATTATATCCCTACTTCTTTCCGTGTTGCTCTATGAACTATGTCGATGTATCACGACCATAGACACATGCTATACCTATGATCTCGACTTACCGAAATTTCTTAAAATGGTAACACTACAACTCACTTGCGATAAGAATGACATCTCGCTTCACATGGTGGTAATATTTTTTACAGAATGCGAAATTTCCGTAAAGCGATCCGTTGTGCGATGTGAATGCATATCCGCCGCATTCAGTGAGAGCCATAGATACAAAACTGTGTCATAGATGAATGATCGGTCTCACTTCAAGCGATATCTATGATTATAACTATGTCTATGATTGCAGCAATTGCTGATTCTGTTTTTCATAAAATGGATTAATTTAATTATTCATTGGTGTCGATTCTGGCATGATTCTCTAAACTTAAACTAAATTTCATCAGAGTATCCTTTTCATTTTGTATAGATAATGACAAGGATACACTATTGTCAAATTAAGGTTTAGGTTTAAAGAATCATCCAATAATCGATTCTAGTATCTATCTATTAAACTTTTAACAGAATGGTACTCCGCGCACTTGGGCATCGTTCGAAACCTACGGCTATGAGTGGAACTTTTTACCAACGTTTAATGTTGACATAAAATCAACGATATTAAATACCCTAGATACAACATCACGAACAAAATCGTGGCTGAAACCTGTCCAAAAGGTAAATTGGACGATACGCGGAGCTCCGTAAGATGATCGCGTAGTCAAAAACAATGTAAGGCATTATTTAAACATTCAAAGTTACATTTAATGCAAAGGTCTTTATTAAAACGCATGCGTCAATGAGTTATGATAGTTCAAAATGCAAGCTCGTAAAATTTTACCACTTATTGCTATACGCGTAAGAATAAAGACCTTATTTCTTTGACTCTACGCACTGAAGATGCGCTATTAGCAACATAGCAGGTACGGACCGCGAGGAAAAGAGACAACTATATTACCGATCATGTATTTGAATATCACGTTTTTGAAGTTATACTTCTTTAGGCGCGTTATGAAAAAATGATGAGAGTGAAATTTTAAGATGCGCGCGCATCACTGTAACACAAAATTTTAACAGCATGAAGTTGGTCACTTGAGCGACCAACTTCATGCGTTACTTTTGTGTTTACCGCAAATTAAGAAAATCGACCATCATAATAGAAATAGAATCTCTATTTAGTGGGTGCTAACGACTGCATTGTGAAGGCCTATCAAAAGTATTTATTAATCTGGAACAACGAAAACAAAGCGCGATTCAGGAGACTACAGCGCCATCTCTTGACCATTGGTGTAGTAGAACCAAAAACCACATCTTTATTTTTTGTAATAAAGTAACAGTTATAGGTATTCATATTTATAATATTTATCCACATGTTTCTAGTTTGTATATTCGGAATACGTGTTTGAGTTTCATACAAGTGCAAATCACATATGTTCTAATAAATTATATTCAGTAGCGATTTTAATTGAATATTTTGATTATTTATTTATTTTTTCAAATTAAAACTGAACTTTATTGACTGTGTCCTTTTCCAGACTTTTTATTAATTTATTGTAATTAATTATTTGCATGCAATTAAAAACTAATTTTAAACGATGCCAAAGAAGGATAACTTCTCACGCGCCTACATAAGTACACGCACCCATTTTTTTCTATTAAATCAATTTATAGTAAGTATTAGAACATAATTATTTGCTTCAAATGCGTTAAATTTACAAACATTTATTAGATACCTATAAAAAAAGGACACTTTACGTACTATAAGTATTTATTATGCATTTTTTCACGGAGCTTTGCGGCATCTTGATTTTCAACAGTCCGCGCGTAACTATGAGTCAAGTAGTGCTAGAGTCGTGTTCAAGCACTTCTTGATTGGGACACATTTTGAGCGCACGTGTTGCATCTAGGGTATTTAATATCGTTGCATAAAAAAGTATGAAACTGATGTCAATTTTGACAATTGTTTCACCTAGAGCGTAGTTTGGAACGCACCCTGGTAAACGAATGCAAATACCCACTAAGGTTTTTGCGCGATTTTATCAAAAGCGGTATTTTTCCATATAGAAATCTCATCTAATATTCCCAAAAGTTCAATGTGGAAATTATATTTGTTAAGAAAATCCACTTCCAAACGTATTGCGGTCATTGTTTAGTTTGTTTTTGGCTCATTTGAAAAACTGTAGAAGAGAGGCGAGATGAAGTAAGTTAAATAAAATGTGGTTTTGATTACTGAAGTTTTAATTTATATTAAAATCATTTCTGTTTTTTGCAGTGGTGTCACAATCGTCGCATCCCTCTGTAGAGCAGCTTAATGTTTTGATCGAGTTCCTAGCAGCTAATAGAGATTTAGCGAAAGATTTCTCTAAGAACCTCAGTGCCAAATAAACCTATCATTGCTAGCTCCAACAAATGAGGCATCGACATGCAAAACATTGAGATCGGCATGAACAATCTGTAACAAAATATTTACAAAATTGAATTCCAGTCTTTTAATTTATCTTTACATAAATTTATATATTTATATGTTCATGAATCATGACAAGTTTTAAGAAAGTAACAAATAGATGAAAATCAGTTAAAGGTGTAGGTACTTACTATTTGAACATTTCTTGCATGCTTACCTTTACGACAATAATACCGTTCTTCATTTTCTTTGGGTCGTATCATGATGACAAAGATACCATCTATGCAACCAACAACTCCACGTATTTGAAATTTCTCAAAAAAACTGTAACAAAGGTAAAGAATAGCTCATTTAATATTTGCTTTACTAAAGAAACTGCCAATAAAAGTATTTTTTTATGATTTCATTACCTAAAATACTTTAAGACACGGGCTCATAGATTTTTTAGAATTCTAATCAGAGTTTACTTACTGTTCCTTTAACACTTGGTGTTGAGATGCATTTCGCAGAAATGTTATATATTTTTACGATGTCTGGATGACTTAAAATTGAGGCAATTTCATTTATACTTCTTGACATTAATATTAAGCACAAGGCAATAGAGTGAGATCTGAAAAAATAGGTGGACATGAGTTTTTGAATTATTAAATAAACAATGAGACCTACATTAAAAATACTTACTTTAAAAGATCTTCTATAAACAAAACTCGTAATTTATTAGCAAAGTTTGTTTGATTGATTACCATAGCTACACACTAAGTCACTTTGACATAACAATTCGAGTGCGGATCCGAAAGTGAGTGTAAAATTCGTTACAGAATGCCATTAAACTTCAAATCCTTGAGCATATTGTCAAGCTATATCCTGCGTTAGTTCATTTCACCGCCACTCTCGCCTAGTAGCGCTAGCGTTGATTCTCACTTGACTACAGAATGCCAATGATAAAATCCGAAACGGATCCGCGTTCGAAAGTGAAATGTGTCTTTACAGAATGCCACTCCTGATGTGGTTGTTTAGGAGACAATATGAAAATATAACCATCTTACTAAGGTGGTAGTCTAGTAGACACTTTAACACTGATGTGGTATATTTTTTTAGTAAAAGATAATTCTTGGTATGGTTGTATGTTTTGATACGAAATTTGCCACAAATACGATAATGGATTTCTAAAAATGGTTATCAATTTCGCTATAAAAACTGTATATCATACCGTAAATTGAATTTGCAAAAATATCTAAAACGCCCGTTCTAAATTCACATTGTGTTCATAGCTTTATTCAAGGTCCGTCTTGTTTTTGCCCCGCGTACAAAATGTCCATCGAACAACCGAGGTTGCCAAGGACCGGACAGAACAAAAGTACGCGGGAGTCCCCGAAAGAATAGAACTCATGTGATTATGCTCAGCAACGTACACACAGACTAAGTTGTCTGCGTTGTGCATTCGATCCGATATAAAACGATGAACCTAGTATTCTCTCGTAAAACGTTTCTTTTTCTTTCATGTTAATGATAACGCAAGTCGCAACGTAATCTCAGAATACTTGCTTTTCAAACAAGAAATGTCTGCACACCCTATGCTGTGTTTTGTCTTTAAGGACGATGTAATTGAAAAGCTTCTGGAGGACTTACAATATTTGGCTGACCGGCTGCTCTCAGAATTTTTGCCGAGATTCTATCATCGCCCGCCGCCTAGTTATTTTTAAGTTGTTTGAGAGCCATAATCGTCACTACGTTATAGTGTCGAGTAACCTTGGTTCTGGGTTCTCTAGCCTAGCTTTCAAAAGTTGCTTGCGTGGAATACCTGACTGACTGATAACTGTCTATTTCATCACCGATACTAACTTGCATCTCATGAATTCTGTAGTCTCATTATACTTCCGCGACCTCACCAGCGAGTGTCCGAGTCGAACGGACCAACCCAACTTGGGGATGCCCCGAGGCATCGGAGGCGCGCTCGAAGTTCGGGCCCCGCTGGCCTCCGTCGGTGTTGACCAAGAGGCGGTTGTTACTAAAATTTAGCTCCTCAAGATTCACCCATATACGACGTGATAGTGGAAGAAGTAGAAGCCAAGGAACCATAACCAAATTGATCGCATTTGGAAAGTAGCTAGCTCGCATTGGGGAACGCCAGAAGCCGCAAAAACCGGCGAGTGTGTATATGTTGAGAACGGGCATGTATGTCGATAAATTAATGTAAATGAAATGAAAGATATGTACGTGCAAATATGTATACAGAACGTGTGATATCTCAGTACCTATGATGCTCTGTTCTCTCTGCCAACCCCACACGGGACTCAGCGTGAAGATTTAAATGAGTATGAGATTAAAATTGTTAATGAGTTTTAGGAAATCGGTATCTCCTAAAACTCATTAACTATTTTATTCTTTGTTTTCAAAGAGAGCAAGGAACTTGTATTCTTTAGAAACGCAATTCGATTTGTTGACATGAATAAATAAGCACTTCATAATTACCGTTCGTTCATTTATTCTCATGTAGGTATATAATTAACAAAATTGTCTTACTATTTTAACTTTTTTCAGCGATCAACATCACCAAAAACGACGTCTATAGTAGCAACTAGTATTGCTACATCAGCTAGCATCATTTTTGGAGCCAAATGAGTAAGGCCTAATATATGCGGATATGAACATGGTCTAATGTGTACTCTATATGGCCTGGAGGTCCCATCAGCAACCATATATAAGCCTAGTTCACCCTTGGGGCATTCCACTGATGTATATGTAGCACCAGGAGGTACAACATATCCCTCTGAACACAATTTGAAGTGATGTATAAGGGATTCCATAGAAGTTTTCATCTCTTTCCGTGATGGCATACTAATTTTTGAATCATCTGTTTTCACTTCTCCTTCTGGCATAGTATCAATAACTTGATTGATAATTCTTAAAGATTGTCTTAGTTCCTCCAAACGCAGCAAATGACGATCATAGCTATCGCCGAAAGTACCTACTGGAACGTCAAAATCATATAAATCATAGCCATCGTAAGGGCGAGCAACCCTTAAATCCCATTTAACTCCAGTGCTTCTTAGCATTGGTCCAGTGAAACCAAGATTTATGGCATCATGTGCAGATACTTGTCCAATACCAGCAGTCCTGGCGTAATATAATCTATTACCAGTGCACAAATCCTCAGTTTCGTCACAACGCTCACCTATCTTCGAACATAATTCGTAAACATCATCTAGAAATCCGATAGGAATATCTTGAGAAACTCCACCGGGCCTTACATAACAACAATGAACACGAGCCCCGCAGAGTCTTTCAAAAAGTTCATAAATTTTCTCTCTTTCCTCACACATCCAGAAAAATGGTGTAATCCCACCAGCATCTAGAATTGTGCCAGAAATGTTTAATAAATGATTTGCTACTCTGCTAAGTTCACTACACAGAACGCGTATTGCTTTTGCGCGAGGAGGTACTTCTATATTCAACAAGGTTTCTACAGCAAGAGCGAAGCATTGTTCATTAGCCAATGTCGACACGTAATCCAGACGATCCATGAACGGGAGACTCTGGTTATAATGTTTATTCTCCATTAGTTTTTCTGTGGCTCTATGCAAAAAACCGACGTGGGGGTCAGCTCTCACCACGGTTTCGCCATCTAGTTCTAGAATAAGTCGAAGTACGCCATGAGCCGCCGGATGTTGAGGGCCAAAATTTATCCACATATTTGTTAGTTTGCGTTCTACAGGCTTTATTTTGGAGTTGTAGATCATCTTATAATATGTTTCAGTCTTAGGATCTGCATACATTAAGGGTTTATTAAACTGTTCCACGTATTCAGCATCAGGATACCAACGTTGTCCTCTTTTTGGTGCGGAAGTCATAAGGTGACGCGTGGGAAAGATAAAACTTTTAAATGATCTTAATTTTAACCACTGCATTTTTTATAACAATAAATAATTAGCGTAATAAATTTATTTAATAGTCCCTAATTTTTGTGACAATTCTGACAATGACAGTTAAATAGTTTTAGCACTATGACCAAGACGTATTAACAAAGTACAAGTAAAAAGTAAAACCTGTAAGTCCAGTCTCTTGAGCGAAATAATTCATCCATGTCAGGTTCTCTCGTCCTCTACACTTCAGAATTATACGAAACTCACTCCTTATTCTTTATTTTACAGAACACATATTGTCAACCATGAGCGCGGCCGACAACAAATGATTTTTTTTTTTAATTATTAAAAATAGTCTGTCCAGATTTTTTTTGGGCAACCCATTTTTGATTATATATTATTTAAGTTACTATTTGGTTCAAACAACATTGCATCTGGAAAACCGATACCGCAGCTTTGACCATATCGCCACACCATCAGCCATCTCGCGCCATACCGCAGTCTACACGATGACCTATCGTGAATTCGCGATCTAAGAGCTCTAAGTTCGCGATAGATAATCACGATGGGCCATCATAAAGAGGGCCTAGCAGGTATATGTTTATTTTTTTAATTCAAGACCAATCACATTACTCCACAGCACGTGAGGTTAGCGGGTGTATTCCGTAATATATACCAGTATACTGGTTAATAGTTCCGAAATATACTGAACAGCGCACCGATGTCATAAATCGCCGAAATATTAAAAAATAGTACGACTTTATTCGTACTATTATAGATAAGATATTTTTCACCTCATCAATTAAAAGGAATTATTTTTGATCTGATACCATTATTGTTCTTTAAATAAAAAAGAAATAAAATTCGAATCCATCTCACGCACGCTCGGTCATACGTCTTTTTCATTTCCCGGTAAAAATATCGTAGCATACCAGTACAATATGGCGTCGGATTCGTGACGTCATTACCACTGGCCAGTATACTGATGTATATTTCGGAACACACCCAAGATGTGTTAGTGGATTCCATTTTCAAAGATAACGCTGACGCGACAAACAAACTTACAGCGCCAGGCACTCTTCTCAACCTCGCGCAAATCAAAGTGGAATTATGATGGCGACCCGCAAATAAATGTCTATCTTATCTATGTGGCGACCATATTTCCAGCAGGAACGCAGAACAGAATAATGTTGGTTAAAATCTTCTAAGTAGTCTACTTCCCCAACAGTCGAGCGCTCCCATTCGTGCGTTAAGTATGAATAGGGGTGATGACGAAGTACAGTAAACGAAATTCTATTTAGCAATCAACCAAAAAATGACAAAGTTATAGCGCGTCAAAATTTGGGAGTAGGGGATCGTGACGTCACTTTTTAGTGAATTTTCACTTAAAAGTGTACCAAAACGTGACGTCATGCGACTTTTCAAATCAATATATCTCTGCAATGTTTATATTATGTGAAAAAAAATACGTGTCCCATACTTTTTGATAATCTACCGGATAAACGAAGAAAAAAAATTAACTCATCTCTATTGCTCTATTTTTTTAAAGAAACGATCATCATAATTTTTTTCACAAAGATAGAGAGACAAATATAGGGTATAGTTACTAAGGTACAATAATAAAACAAAACTAAATTGTAAAATGCATATATTAAATAAATAACTTAATTAAAAAAAACTTCGGGGTAGGTACTATATAAGTGTAACGGTCTACATAATATTTAAGCATATACCTAAGCATAGAAATTAGAAAAAATATAAATCTTAAAAATGCAAAATATCAATATATCAACCAGTATAATATAAAAATTTATTACAAAATATGTACCACATCAATTTCATTCGGAATGTAAATACTATTCATACTTAATTAGAACTATTCGTAAAGCCGATGCACAATAAATATGTTTTATCATTTCTATGCCTAATGAATACAGACATGTATTACAATATTTCATACAGTTAACTACCTACTTATATACCTATATAACATAGATATGCAAAACTCAAAATATGTAACTTCCTTATTACATTTAATTAATAAAAAAGAATTTAATCAGTTACAGGATCAATTTGTATTTGATTTTATAAAAAATATTAATAATTTGATTTAAATACGCTATAATTATATCATCATATCATCGTTGCATTATAAATACATATAGGTAAACTATACGAAAATGAATACAGAACTTTAATAGAAAGTTTAAATTAAAATAGTTTTAAATAATAAGAGAGCAGCGTCATTATTATTAATCTTAAGTTGCGTCCACACTATATATATATTCCTAGCATGTTATAATTATAATCTGGGCGCACCTTTACTTATTAAGAATTTTATAACAAAGTCACCGACGGAACCCTATTACTAAGCCTCCACTGTTCTTCCGTCGGTCCGTTTATCATCAGGGAGCTGTCTGTCATGAGCGAATAAAATAATCTGTAGTTTTAAGCTCTTGTTTATTTTGTAAATGGCATTTGCAAACAAACATATGACCCGCCTGATTGTAATAATAACGGTTACAATTACCATAGCCTACAGACGCTTAAGATATCAGAGTATCAATCATGCATGCCCTTCCTGTAGCGAAAACAGGTATACGCTCATACTAGCATCAAATAAAATATGCTCCGACTCAACTAGAAGCGGCTGAGCTGTATTGTTGTCCTTTTCTTGATAACAATTGGCGAAAAAGTAAATAAAATTTCAAACCGTAATTTTTGAGAAAATCAATGTTTTCATAGTTTTGCGAATGAAAAGTGTTGCCGTGTTTGTTATTTGATCTTAAACTATTTGTATTCTTAATAAAAGCATCGAAGGCGTTGTTTTATCTTTATAGCACAGAATATACGTAATATTAGTATTAGTTATATTGAGTGCACATGCAGCATGTTTGAATGTCCAATTATGACTAAAGCGTATTGTGGTAATGCACCAGTTTTTAAGCGGATCATTTTTGAGCCGCGAGTGCCGTTTCTTCCCTTTTTGTTTTTATCTTAGATATTACCTCAAATTAATGAAATGTGATTTCTTTGAAATTGCTTACTGCACCAAGTCACCTAGTGTTAGATCTTTTACCTATATGGGAATCTTCGTGTGCGAGCATGATTCGCACTTGTCCTTTTTAGGGTTCTGTACCAAAAGGAAAACACTGAACCTTTATAGGTTCACTTTGTTGTCCGTCCGTCCGTCAATCAAAACTCTTTTCCTCAGGAACGCGTCGAGGTATCAAGCTATAAGTTAAATCAAATACAGGTCAGGTCTACTGTCCCTTGGAGCTGTGAAAAAATACAAACTTTTAAGCCAACGCAATCGAAACTACCGCCGTTTATGCCGCAAGTATCCGCAAATTTTCGAAACTCGCAAGGGAATCAAAACCTACAGGGTATTTCCCGTGAACTCAGAATCTTGAAGTTTGGTACGAAGCAACGTCTTATAGCACAGATACAGGAAAAATTGCGAACCGTAAATAGACCTACAGGTAGGTTGTACGGAACCCTCCTCGGTGCGCGAGTCCGACTCGCACTTGACCGGTTTTTTTTATTTCCGAACGATAGAATCTACTTCTGTTAAATAATTTAAAATTCAAAGTTAACCAGGAAACTAATATAGGATCTGAGAATATAAAATGCATACTTCAAGCAATCAAAGCTCCATAATGCATAAAATCACCATTCTTTTTTAACAACCTGAATTAAATTACGTTGAAGAGTAAGTACATGGTTGGGGGACCCCTGGCATGCTAAAATTGTACATTGTGTTACAGTTTTTTTTTAGCTTAATATCAATTAATAGTTTGGGTAAGCTTAAAAGACTTCCTTGAACCAATTTAACATTTTTTTCGCAATATACCTACCTAAATAACACCATTCGAATTTTCCAAATAATTTCTTTCATACAAAGCTAGTCCTCCTAACAATAACGAATACCTAAACGAAAAAAATATCAATGTAGTGATGTATGTAAGTATTAAAAAATTTATGCACGTACATATTACATTTCGGCGATTAGTTTTCATGCTTACAGATGGGCTTTCGTAGTGAGCGTCAGCGAAGCCGCGACAGAGCGTCAGAATTTATATGCAAATGACATTGTCAGTGCCGCTTTGACAGACGCTGAAATTGACATTTGCATAGAAATTCTATCAGACGGTCTGTTGCGGCGTCGCTGACGCTCGCTACGAAAGCCCACTTTAACATTGATAGTTATATCAATTATAATGAGAAATTTAAATAATTCAAACCTGTTTACTATTAACATGATTGTACCTATTACGTATCTATTTCACATACTTATTTATGAACGAAAACCGGCAGTGTAGAATACGCTACATCCATCGGTACTCATAAACTAGGTAACTTAAGAATAAAAAAATAATAAATCTACAAGTTAGGTAATTTATAAGCTGTGAATGATGTTTGGAGTAGGTATAATAAAAAACATATACTACAATGAGAGATCGATGTCGATGATAAACTTAATATTCCCATCATACTTATGTACTTTTTTCTCTCATCATTGGTTATGAGAGAAAAAAGTACATAGTTGTAGTTATCAACAGCAACACTGTGTTAGCATTTAAATAACAGAATACACTCGCCAGCAATAATAAAGGGTCATTTATTATTTAACTACAAACAAGCTACATAAGCTTACTCTTCTGCTCTGAAAGAATTTTTAATTAGTTGCTCATAAAATAAAGCACAGTATGATTCAAAATAAACTTTTATTAATCTGGAAATTTATTGCTGTTTCAAAGGTTCCCTTTATTTTTGTAAGTGTAGATTGAAATCCTCTATAAAGCAAAAACTTACCTAAATGCGAATAATTTTAGGCAAGCTCGATAAGATGACGTGCTTTTATGTCACAGATATGGTAATAAAAATAAAGATTAATACACATACCTACCTACATAATCATTATAAAGCCTTATTTTAATTTAACAGTCTCACGTTACAAATACAAATAAAAATCAAAAATCACACTCAAGCAACCGACCAATCAAAACAAGCGAGATTCGTACTACTATCAATGTATTTATATTATCGTCAGTATAAAGCACAATAAAAAAGGTGTTGTGCCCAGTGACATCACAAGATATTTAGGTATGTACTATGTATTTCGTAAAACAACACAGAATACATATACTTAGGTGATATATGATGATAATAGTTAAAGTTAAATGTAGATTTAATAAGTTAGCTTTGAAAATATCGTCAAAAATAGCCTAAAAATATGTTTTAAAGTTGAAATTACTTCTTATTTTTAATGTAGTTCTTTAGTTTCATAAGTCTTAAAGCGATCTTATAAAAGGAGTGGGTAAAATCTTCTATGTAAATGGACAAAAGTTATTCAGCAAACCATTAGGTACTATATCAATAAATAACTCGGATAAGTTTGCTGAAGCACATTAAGACATCAACCTAATATGTGTTACCATGTGGACTGTGATAAAATATTCTAATTTATTGATACAAGTGTATGTTCGAGACTTAACACTACCAATAAATAAATATATCATAACCATTCGAACATCGAAACGTTACAATGACGACATTAATTTCATTAAGCTCGTCCAATAAATGCCTTACATTACTATCACTTACGTTAAGCGTACAGTTTGGTCCTTTAAATGTAGTACTAGAGTAGTATCATCAATTCGAAGACATTTTCTCCAATGATTCGACATAGGTACATGAGCAAAGTTTCTGGAGGAACCTCAGCGTGTGAGCGGATACTACATTGTAGGAGTCCGGTTTTGTTTGCCATTTGACGCAGATGTAATATACGGGTATGCCTGATAGAAGGATGCCTAATCCAATGGCTGTATCTATTGGTTGTGTGATGGCTGGAATGATGACGAGGCAGGCGATTGCGATAAGGAATAATAAAGGTATAACGATGTTCACCTTTATAGGACGAGGGATATCGGGTTTCTTCCGACGCAGCCACAACATTCCGACCACAGACGCGCCGACGGACAACCAAAGCGTTTGCGAGAAGTAGTTGATTAGAGCGAATACGTTGCTCGTTGTCAACATAAGGAGAGAGAACAAACACTGGAACAAAAGAAAAATAAATTTTAATTAATAAAACACTATTAACACTGATGTAAAACGCGATTAGTTCAGCGTGGAAGTACAAAACAAAAAGTCCATTCGTGAAAATAGCTAGCGCGTCAGGATATTATATCGCTCAGCTATCCTCACATTTGCTAGCCTGAATACAATTCCCTACCAGTCGCACGTAGCACGTCGTCGCACAGCATATACTGAAAGAGGGACCCTGTTATTCCTTATTATTATTTTAATTTTTAAAGTGGAAACTTCTTTAGCGGCGTTGTACACTTTTTTGGCAATGGGTAAAAAATGTTAAACTCGTGTCAGGATAAGTGACCTGAAAATTCGTAACAATAAAATTGGAAAGATATCGACTTTCTATAAATTGGACGAAACATAGTAGTATTTTATTTTATCATATTATAATAATAAGTCTCTAACTAGGACGTCCAGGTGGCAGCTTTATTGCGAAGAAATGCATTTTTTACAATTGATGTCGCTAGGTGCACTTAAATGTGATTCATGTAAGTTGATTTTTCTGAGAGATAAACTTTTTAATGTAATATAAATTGTCATGTTTGTGTAAGATGGCACAATAAATAAATATTGTATTCTACCCCATAAATTATAGTACTTTAATACTGATAACTAAAGCAATTCGTGCAAAATTATTTCCTAACCATTCCAAAATATCAAAAATGCACAACGTTAATATTCAAGATTTCACTTCTGCCGGCACTCCCGGAGTGCAACCCGACGTTTTTCTTTATTCCTTTCTTAATTATAATTTATTGTATAATGTGGGGTTGCTAAATAGCTTTTTTTTCTTTCTTACCCCGTAGAGCCCAGAAACCACGAAAATGTAGTATCATAGTACAATTACACTACCTACTTCAGTGTAACTTTATTATGATCTTAAGGTTGAGGTTGTCTCTCCACTAAAGTAGGGTAAAGCAGATTTCCTGTTGGAATTGGCTACAGAAAATTTGCTTTACCCTACTTTTGTTTAAATTTTCTATTTGAGCAGTTAATTAACCCGCCGCGCGCCACATCATATCACTTTTATGAGTATAAAATTTAAAACGTATAAAATAAAAGTAAAAGAGAACTTTCACGTTTACGTAGGTACTTGTTTATGTTTACCATTGACGAACCGCTATTATTGGAAATCAATTTTAATCAAAAAACGTTAATAAATATAGAAATTATGCAATTAACTTCATACTGAAATGCAATATTTTTTTATATTGCACTAACTATTGACAGACTGATAGCGTAAGCGGTAATTAAATGTAAGTACTTATTTGTTACAAAACAATTAAAAGCAAACAAGACTGGAGAAAGGTTGCTCCGTTCCCGTGTTATTTATTGATCTCAAACCAATTTCTTCAGACTGTTTATAAAAGTAAACTACTACTAAAATTTTGATATAGCATTGTTTATCGACAACTAAGATTATCCGATTGTAAGAAATAAATAAATATTGCATAAAATGTCATTATGATCATCACACATAGAAGCTTTGAGTAATCATTGCTACAAAAAAAAATTTAAACAAAAAATAAAACTGACTTTAAAATCGAGAGTGGAAGTGAAAGTTCCAAATCATGAACCACATAATATTATGTTTTACTTTTTAGTTCCATTTTCGATATTGAAGTCGGTTTTTTTTTTATTTCATGCATTTTAGTGAAAATTACATCGTCCCAGTAAACAATAACACAATAGGGGTGATGACGGGGTACAGTAAACGAAATTCTATTTATTCCGTCAGTTAGATGATCAAAAAATAATGGACACGTAAGTATTTTTTCTTTGGGCAATCAACCAAAAAATGACAAAGCTATAGCGCGTCAAAGTTAGTAGGGGCTCGTGACGTCACTTTTGAGTGAAAATTGTACTTGTTTAATTGTAAAACGTGACGTCATGCGAATTTTCAAATCAATATATCTCTGCAATGTTTATATTATGTGAAAAAAGAAAAAATACGTGTTCAATACTTTTTGATAATCTACCTGATAAACGAGGAAAAAAAATTAGTCATCATACCTATTGACGGAGAAATCGGTGAACTGAACATGCATAAAAAAACATCATGCGTGCCTTTGAAATTTGAAGGATTTCCTCGATTTCCCCGGATCCCACCATCAGATCCTGACTTGGTTCCAATGGGACAACCTCGGAACTGCACTTTTTCGAATAAAAAAATGCAAAATGTTTAATATCCATTCAGGCATGACACTCACCGTGAATATAAGCGAAGGTATCGGGGTCTGTTTATTGATGTGGAAGAGCGAGAAGAAGGCAGGCATATGTCCCTCTTGCGCACCAGTGGCGAACAAGCGTGCCGACGTGAACAGCACGCCGTTAACACCGCCGAAAGTTGATAGAGCCACGAAAACTGGGATCACCCATCTCCAACCGCCGAACAAACGATCGCCGAACACCTGACAAGAAGAAAAACCTCGATAAAGGCCGAAACAGACTTTTGAAACGCGACAATACCCGACGCCACGCGACGCGTGTTGAGTCAAATCAAATGTTCTATTTTCTAAGATCAGAATCATGTTAGGAACATCCGCCGCGACGCAAGACGCACACACTAATCATAGAAAAAACCGCGTCACGAGGCGTTGCGTCGCGTTTCAAAAGCCTTTCGGCCTTAACGATATAAGCTTGATGGCGACTGTGAAGTTAGCGCAAGTCACGGCATTTAGATATTTTTGTATGTAAAATTGCTACTGCGCTTGCTTTCTTGTCGTTGCATGGTCAAATCTCAGGAAGTTTTCCGGGATGTATACAACATTGGTAAATTGATAATGCCCTTTGGTCAACGCTGTTGCTCAACGTAAATTTTATTCTTCGTTGAAAAGTTCCTTCAAAGTCTTAAAATGTAAGTAGCTAAAAATAAGAATAGAGAGAGGGAAGGCCTGTGCTTCAGAAGCGATGACAACAATAAACCACTCATGATCACGAAGGTCGTATAATAATAGGCCTTCTTAATACTACATATATATCTAAACCACAATATAGAATTTATTAGTGACCTAGTAGGATATTAGAACTTTAAACAATTGTTATCTTATCTATATAAGGTGAAAAGGTAGCCAATAAATTAATTAAACTTCTATATAAACAATATTCAAACAGTAACTGAACTTCAAGACCTGATATCGGTTCATAAAAGGGGTCGACTGTTGACAAGACCTGATATCTGTTCATAAAGTGGTCGACCGTATTTTATGGCTAGTAGTACCCCAGAAACTTAAATCAAAATACAGTTCCATGCGGCTTTAAATATTCGCTTCTAGTCAAAGATTCTTTAGTATTTATATTAGAACATAAGTAATTAAAACAGGTAAGATAGGTATATTTTTAATTCTACTTATCTTTTTCGGGTTAAATCAATATCTCGTAGTTGGTCATATCTATAGTATTATTGCTGTGACCGTAAACATTAGTATCAATGGTCAAGATGTCAAAGATCACATCTTGTACAAATTAGATATCCACAATCTTTATCAAGGGAAATAATAAATTTGTTGTAAATATATTAAGAGTAGATTAAGATATCTTTCATTAACAAGGCTAATGCTTCTAAGAAGTTAATTTTTCTAACAGCGAAAGTAAAATTACTTTAACTGAAGTATTTATTTTCTGAAGAAAACTTAGCTAGTTATATATTATTTCGATGTGTCCTGGTTGAATAAGGTTTATAACAGTGTTCAAATAACACCCGCTGCAAATAGGATACAAAATGATACCTACCTAACTTACATGATTGTTAATGCTATGACAAGGCACGACAGAAATACATAGGTACCTAAGTACATCGATTATAATCGAATCCCACTCATTTTGTAATCCTATCTACAGTATCTACTAATATTTGTTTGTTAGGTTTTCACGCACATCACTCATTAAATAAAACAACTTTCAACGAGTTAGACGGTTAAATGCAGAATTATTCTGACGACGCATTCCTGCAAAGGGTGCGAATAATTCTGACGACGAATTCCTGCATCACTCATGAAATACAACAAGTTTGAACGGGTTAGATGCACTGATTTATTTATTGACTATTCGAATTATTCAGAATTATTCTGACGAAGCATTCCTGCAGAGGGTGCGAAACGTCAATAAATAAAAAAAAACATGCATCTAAGCCGTTAAAACTTGTTTTATTTAATGAGTGATATGAGTGAAAACCTAAGAAACGAGAAACGTAGAAAGAATAAGAAAGAAAGAAGAGAGAGAGTGGAGTAATAGACGATGGCGATCACAATATATCGAAAGTCAACTTTAAGAGTACAGACGCTGTTTGAGTGCTTCAGCCGGAGCTGTATGAAGTTCCTATTATAATTCATCATTAGCCTATTAATGTCCCCACTGCTGGGGCCTTCCCTATAGGTGGAATAGAGTGATTGGGTCATGACTCACCATGCGGGTACAGTTCGGATTAGTGGGTGCTAACGACTGCAGATGTAGCCGGGACCAACGGCTTAACGTACGTTCCGAAGCACGGAGGAGCTCGAGGTAGTAAATTCGTGGTAACCCATCCAACCACCAACCACTGCGAAACTTGCTTAACTTCAACAATCGCAGCCGAACGAGCTAATCACTTGTGTCCTCGAGCTCTCATTATAAATAATAAGTCCAAAATAGCAATAGATAAAACATATGTTACTTCTCACCACAGCGACAGCAGGATTGGACATCATCTCGCCTTTAGAAACGACCGCGAAGTAGGCCATGTTGGCCATTACGTATATGATTGTCACCATTGGCATTGCGATCCATATGGCACGCGGCAAGTTCCTGGAAGTAATCAGTTGGCGGATATTAAAAAATAGTAAGTTAAGCACCTAATAAAACAGTTCATTACACACAAATAGGCCGCTGAAAGAGCTTCCATAGATGCTAATGTAAGGACGCTTGTTAACGAAACGATTTCTACCCAGATCAAGGCACGGTTTTAAACCGTGTCTATGTCCGGTCGTCAGTTTAGTATGGGACACTATGGAGGATTTTTAACGACATCGTTCTTATCGGTTTGGTTTGGGGTCGGTATATGGTACAAACATACGAACGCTTGTTCACGAACACGCTTAGCCAGCACCGGCACGTGACTTAGACCCGGCGGAAAACCAGTCGTTAACTAGCCCTTAAAACGACATGGGGGAATATTACCGTAGCGAAAAACTGCCATTAAGCCCGAGAACAAAACCTATGTCGACTATTGTCGTTGCGTAGACGACAAAAGTCGACATTACACCGAAGGACGGCGAAGGGCTCACAAGTATAGTATTCATAAATTAAATATATATTTTTGACGACTACCCATGATGGGTGAGTGGTAAGTACGCCGGCTTACAAGCTGTTGCTTACTCGAGAGGTATCCGGTTTCGAATCCCGGTGAGGCAAATGTTTGCGTGATGGATACGAAAGAGCATCATTTATACCCAAGTCATGGATGTTTATAATGCATATAGCGCATACAGTATATTATTATATATTCTTACTAACTTTAGGGCTAGGATAATTGGTGTGAGTGATAGAAATATTTAATAGGTTTTTTTAAGAAGAATTGTAGAAGCGTACCTCCCAAGTTAACCTCTCTGGCCAAGTTCCGCTTTATTGTTCGCGATGTGAATGAACAACTACATAAATAGAAACACATATAAAGATGATGAGCGAAGTGAAGCGAACTTAACTTTGGTCCTAGTGTCACATGCGCTTTAGACTTTTAGGAGCGGTTGTTAAAAATTAGGTGAACGGGTCTGGTTCACCTAATTTTTATTAAAGACATTGTTCTACTTTTAACAATGCAAATATTCCTCACAGATATGCCGCTAAATCTATAATAAAACTATGCACGTTATTAGTAATGACGTAGACGTACGACATTTAACCCACGTGCGATTATACGGCAAAGTCATGGTCACATCCCGAATCAATGATAAGATTTCTTCAAAGAATATAAATTCATGCGCTTATAGCGCTGGCATCTCGCCAAATGTGATAAAAACTTTTAATAGATAATTAAATTCCTTCATTACCACGTCCTCGATACGTGATTATTTGGTTATTTATTAGTAACGACATATGGCATCTTTAGAAACAAACTTTAGTGACAAAAATTAGTTACTGTTAAGATTTATGCTCTCATCAATTTTATCACATATTTAACACTGAAATGATAATTTATTATTGAAAACTTTTACTTTTATGAAGAATCAAATTACCAAACTTATTAAAATATATGCCATTACTTAAATTCATATCCCCCTATTTGAGTATAATTTATTTTATCTACACTCATGTCCAAATTACGAATTTAAAGATTTTTTTATAAAGATGCACTTTATAAACGCACATGCATATAATTAAAAAAATCACTCACAGTATTGCTAGCTCTATCGTAATAGTTATTTATACAACTGTTGTAAAATGAGGAGTATTAAAACACGAATATGGTTATCATACTTGGCGAAGTCGAGTGTGATAAAAGTATGACATTCGTGGTTTAAATACCTAATTATAACAGTCGCATGAGAGACTTTATCCACACCCACGATATGAATCCTCTATAAAAGATTCTGAAACCATGGGGCTTTCTAAGAACTTAACAACTCATGAAATGTTTGGGCGCTGTGGTAGTGGGGCCGTTTGGTTGTTATAATGTTTATTTTTATTATAACCTTGGATATTTTAATGTTGGCAATAAGCTAACTGTTTCAGAATCTTCAATAGCAGTTTTAAAGCATGGTTGTAAATAAAATAACTTTAATCAGTATAGTGGACTTTTATTCATAACTAGTTGACCCCCGCCTACGTCGTACGAGTTAAAATAATTTGGAAGAAATGACGGACCCGAGTCTACCGTACCAAAAGAGACGAACGTCAAATGTTTGACAGGAAAAACAGTTTATATGGGAAAATTAAATTGACGTTTTTCCTCTCGCAAAAAATCTTCTCGCTCGCAATCTCGCAATTCTTCTATATTTTCTCACCTTTTAAACCTTCCCTAGACCTCCACGAACATTTAAAGACCAAGATAAGATAAATCCGTTTAGCCGTTACCGAGTTTTAGCGAGACTAACGATCAGCAATTGATTTATATATATATACTAGCGGACCCGACAGACGTTGTCCTGTCTACACGTCTTTGTGAATCTAAACCATTCTCAGATCCCCTTGAACACACACAAAAAATTTCATCAAAATCGGTCCAGTCGTTTAAGAGAAGTTCAGTGACACACTCACAGAAGAATTATATATATAAAGATATATATATATATAGATTTATTAAATTAGGCCATGATATTTGTTTTATAGGCTGTATGGAAAAAGAAGCGCACGCATTCATAGTTTGAACTTAATATCTCGCGCTTCCTGGATAATTTTCTGCCAATCGTGTTTTTTTTCAGAAAAGTTTTCCAGATTATTTTTCTTTAGCTACCTTGTTTAATTTCAATTGTTCCTATGAATGAAGATAAAGTAGTGTATGCAACTGCATATAATTTAGGTATAGGGTTGCCAACCGTACGAGATTTCTGGTGTCCGTACGAGGTACGCGAACATTACACATTTCGTACAAATAGGCAACATGTTAAAGCATAAATCGTAAGTGTCCAAACTAGTCTATGTTTTTTGATGTGTAACATCTTTCCTTTCGCTTTCCTGCAATTTGTGAGAGTGATTTCGTGAAATGGGACGGAAGTGTGTAACAGGAAGTCGCGAAAGCGCGCGCTTTTTGATTTGATTTTAGAACATAATGTTCAAATGGCTTCTTCCTTTTCTAGTAGGTTTTATTTCTTTTTTTACTAATATAAGGTGAGGTTTCAAATATTACACATCATACGAAAAAAAATTTGACTAGAAAAACATTTCTTTACAGTCTATGGTTAGTTGACGCGTTTGCCTAGATGTTTATTTTATTTACTAATTCTTTGTCCAAATCAAATCAAATCGATGTTACGAGATTTTTAGTTGTTTAAAAAATTCGACGGTATTGTCTTGTGTTTTTAGGTATAATAATACCTAAAACTACTTAATACCTAAAAACATTCGTGTCAACCATTTATCGTATCGTAAAATCGTAAATAGACTCACGTCTCGTCGTGTGAAGGGTGTTCTAAGATCCCATGTTACAATAGCATAAACTTATATGAACAATATACCTACGTCGTCGTCAAAATAGATGTCCGATTTTCAGACCTACTAAATACGCATATAAAATTTCACGAAAATCGGTCGAGCCGTTTCGGAGTAGTTCAATTACGCACACCATGAGACGACAATATTATATAATAGATTATAAATTTTAAAACATCCGTATTTCTGCACTGGAATCTATAAAAATATTGTTTCGTCATTTAAGTTTGTCTACAGAATACATTATGCTTATTCCATTTATAGATAACACTTCATTCTTATTCTTATACTCGTTTTTCCCAACCATCTTTATGTAGGAGTCAGTCATGAATAAAAGATGCAAGGGTGAACGAGAACAGCTATCTCCGTTAAGTTATTGGAAGAAAAACCCCAGTTTACTAAAGGCACTATTAAGAAAATTAAATAAAGCAAAAAACTATACAGTAATTTATCGAAAAATTAATAAAGATTCTTGTCAAGTTCAAAAATGAATTCAATATGAGATAATAGGGAAGATGCAATATTTTTATTTTTGTTTTCATTTTAAAGAATTCCATGTAGAATAAACCACAGATATATTAAAAAATTAAAACATTGTGATTTAACGGAAAAAATGCGGTTTTAAATTGACAATTTAAATTTTCGCGCGAAAACGAACCTATGTTTGCGATGACGTCACTCCTGTCCGTCACTGGTCGTACTTGTTCGTTGCTGGCTTTAAATTTTCATACTTTTGCATATTTTTTCGAATTTCGAAATATTTTTTTGAAAAATTTAAAATCGAAAAATTTAAATGGATAGTCCATCCATCAACATCATGTGATCATAACAATACCACTAATATTCCGAAAAAAAGCCGTGTTGACTCATGTTTTGTGCCAATCTACTTCAACAAAGTTCCCAAATAAATTGTTTTTGACTGGAACTTCTGACCCAAAACTGAAAAAAAAGTGGTTTCAAGCTGCGAAGAGAAATGACAATTATTCTCCAAAGACCATTATTCGATGCTGAGAAGATCACTTTGGCGTAAGTCGGCGAATATACTTGTTATATACTTAATTAATCTGCTTGTGCGTAAAAACGCATTAGTAACCTACCTAATACTTACAAAACCTGTCTATAACATATTTTTAATTTTACAGTTGGAGACTGACGTCGAAAATTAGATAAAGCTTAAAATGTGTGGCACAATCTTCACATTGGCAGGACTGAACCAAGCTTTGCGTTTCATTTAAAATAACTGTAACACGATAACCTTCTTTACGTACTTTATGCTCCGGAGAACTCGACCTTTTACTGTACATAATTCTCCATCCCTTTTAATTTGGACATAGCCGATTGCATTATCGCCGTAAGATTTGTAGAAGCCGCTGAATAAAATACGAAGTTTAACAACTACGATTTTTACATACCGTAGTACTTAATTTAGTCCCTTTCATTTCTACACTTAAAAACTCTGCACTTTGGACAAAAAATGTTATAACCATCTAAAGAAAATATAACTAGAAAAAATTCCACGCGGACCAGGCAGCAGACGGGACTCGAACCCGCACCCTTCGCAATCCGGGCGAATGCACTGACCAATTATGCTACCGCGGCCCTCACGGACCGCGTCGAAATTCCTTCTAGCTATTCTTAAGCTGCAAGGCAGCGCCATCTCT